CCGTTTCGATAACCGAGAGAGTGTGTCATATGTGGCCGATGTGGTCCTCCCAAGTAAACTTTGAGGGATTAATTAAGTAGAGTGAGACAAATTTCATATCTAATAGATTATGGGTTTAAATCTTCAGTCGTCTTTTCGAGATAGGGTAAATGTAATTTTCTTTACAAATTCTTTGAACTTGGAAGTTTTCCATATGCATAACCGAAGCACCATCCTTCACTCATAAATGTTCATGTACCAAAAACAAAAATTAAAACAAAAAAAAAATCTAAAATAAAAAATTATACAGATCACCAAATCATTGCACGCATCAACTATGAGTGTGCTGCAATTAATCAAATTAAGAAATGATGTTGAAGAGAGGCAACAAAAGTAAAGTCAAGAACGGCATGGTCGCACAGTCCCTACCACTTGACATTGTCACTATACCAGTCGTTCTCGTAATCAATAAAGCACCAAACAAGAAAAGAATGAATGAAGCAAATAAACAAACAAATAAAGTAGGGGTGGTGGGAACTGGGAATTATATATGGAGAATCTTCCAAAAAGTTAGCTTAACTCCAGAGATTGGGGAACCCTCACTTCTGCTTGGTCTTCGCTTAATCAATTTCCTAAGGTACGGAGAATCAACATGACACGAATAAATATAAGAGATTAGTATAATTTATGAACTCTCAACTTTATATTAAAAATGAAAAATCATAAGAAGCAAAGTGCCCATGGGTATAGGGTAGCTGTGGTGGCTAGTGCCTAGATTTTCTCGCTGTAGTGCACGAGGGTGTTTATTTTTATATGCTATCATCATTAACATGGTGACTCAAATTTAAAAAAGAAAATAAATATATATTTAGTGAATGTGCGATTATGCCGTCTTTGACGGTAAGACAAGGAATCTTTGGGGTCCCTTTCGTTCGAATCTCAACGATGTGTTTGTGCTTAAAATATCTTGATTCATATGGCAGACATGTAATATTCTACTATATGTTGTCACTTTTAAAATATTAATAATAAAAGGCTTAATTAATGTAGTTCTTTTTCATGAAAAACACAAAGGCTATCAATTTTAGTTGGGAGGCCTCCCAACTTTCGTTTAAAAAGTAAAATTAAAATGCCTTATCTATTCTAAATTTTTTAACAAAAAAGAAAGTAAAATTAAAAACAAAACAGATATATTTTATTTTAAAAAAATAATACATATATATAGTTAATTAATAAGTACATGATCCAGAGGGCTTACTCATTGATTCAACCATTTCTTTCAAGCGCTCGAGTTTCTCCTTATAAGCTTTCATATCAAGATCTGGTGGTGGTGAAGTACTGGATTGATTGGTGGCTTCATGTTATGAGGTAGTATGATTTGCCCATCATTGAGCAGACCCTTTGTTGTTACCCATGCGCTCAAGAACATTATTTCTTCCATGGAGTTTGAAGCATGTTTCCTTGGTATGTCCAGATCTTCTACAATATGAACAATAGTCTCCACGGTTAACTTTTTCAAACGACTTTCCTCCGGCATTTGCTCCCTTGTGGACCCCCTTTCCAGTTGTCATGGCAGAGCCTGTGTTGGAGATCCCCCATTAAGCATGATAGCTCTTCGAGTTTCTTCTCCTCTTACCATAAAAAATACTTCTGATAGGGATGGTAATTTTTCTCTTCCTAAGATTTGTACCCTGATTGGGTCGTACTCATGATTTAGGCCATGGAGAAATTTAAAGATTCTTCCTCTTTCCATGGCTTCACCATGTGCGGCAACATCTGTTTTACACATCTTTATTGTTTGGTACTGATCTAATTAAATCCAAAGTCCATTCAGGATTCCGTGATATTCTGATACGGAAAGAGAGCCCTGTTTTGTATTAAATATTCTACTTTCAATGTCTTAACATTCAGCAAAATCCTTTTTTAATGAAAAAGTACTCTGTAAATCATCCCATATCTCTTTGGCAGAAGAATGAAACATATAATTTTGACTTATCTCAGGAATCATGGAATGCCACATCCAAGTCATAATTAGTGAATCTTCATTGTCCCAAATTGGAAAGTTTGAGTTGTCTGGTCCTGGCCCTCCACCATCTATGTGATCCAGTCTTGAACGTCCCTTGAGAATCCTTCGAATATACTGGCTCCACTGTAGGAAATTCCGACCATCCAACCGATAGGCACCTACCACATTTGGAAGATCATTAGGACCCAAAGGAATAATTTTTACCTCAGACATCCTTTGGAACGCAATCTGGTGACCCTATCCGAGACAACGACGACGTGTGGGATACATCGGAAAAAGGAGCAGAACTCAAAACTCAGATCTACTCAAATCTAGGCCAAATGAGACGTCACCGACCCGTGGAACGGACTCAGGAGGTTCCGGCGACTCTTTCTGTGCTTAGATCTTGGGCATCCTGCAAAGACAAATATGGTAATGACAAGGAGAGCTCCTCCACTTCAAGTGCTTTCTCCCCCTGAAGTGGTGGACTGGCATAAAAGGATTGTGTTTCATGAAAGGTGACATCCATGGTGATAAAGACGCGACGACTCTGAGGATGATAACATTTGTACCCTTTTTTATTAGAAGGATACCCAATAAAGACACATTTAAGAGCTTTTGGATCTAATTTACTATGATTAGGATGATGAGAGTGAACAAAAATAGTACATCCAAAGACTCGACTAGGTAGACTCGATATTAGGGAGGAAGAAGGAACAAAAGACAATAAAGACGCTATAGGACTAATGCCATTTAAGATACGGGTGGGTAACCTATTGATGAGATATGTGGTAGTTAACACAGCTTCTCCCCAATAATGTTTTGGAACAGACATTTGAAAAAGAATGGCTCTAGTTACTTCAAGAAGATGACGATTCTTTCTTTTTGCAAACCCGTTTTGTTGAGGGGTGTTTACACATGTTAGTTCATGAACAATACCATTATGAGACAAAAAATTGAGAAATTCATGATTCACATATTCAGTACCATTATCAGACCTAATTCTTTTGATATTTTTTCCAAATTGATTTTGGACAAGATGGAAAAATTTAACAAAGATTTGGAAAACTTCTGATTTATTTTTCATAAGGTATGTCCATGTGACACGGGTACAATCGTCAATAAAGGTAACGAAACATTTGGCTCCGGAAATAAATTCTACAACAGGTCCCCAAACATTAGAGTGAATTAATTCAAATGGAGAAATACTCTTTTTACTACTAATAGGATAAGATGCACGATGGTGCTTTGACAATTGACAGATATCACAATTAAAAGACTCAACTGACTCCTTGGTAAACAAATGAGGAAATAAGGACTTGATAAGGTTGAATGAAGGATGCCCAAGCCTTTTATGATGTAGCCATATTTGGGAATTTGCCCACGTCTTCTTACTTTAAATTTTTTATGATCTTAAGTTTATTGGTATTATTATATAGTCATATTATATTCAAAGTTATTATCTTTAGTGTCAATTGACTAAATAAGTCTTAAAATGTAAAATAAACTTAATTCAACTTTATAAAATCAATTTATAAAATAAGAATTATTCTCATTTATATGTTTTATTATAGTCATATCATCATGAGATTTTCAATAAAAAAAATACTTATAAATTACGTTTCATCTCAACTATTAATTGATTTAAGATTCTTTTATGTATTGAAACAAAACCTTATAACTTAATTTGAAATAGAAGGGAAAAAAAAAGGATTAATTGCTTTTACAAAATGAAGTTTATTTTGTAAACTTAACTCTACAAGCATTAATCCAAGCGGTTACACGGTTTTCATGAAAAACTAAAATTCTTCAAACAGAAATATTTGAACTTATTTTGTGAATATTTAATTTAAGAATCACACTTTTAATGAGAAATAATTTTTGAATTCTATCTTTTTGTCTCAGAGAGAGAGAGAGAGCGAATATATACTAGAAAACATTTTTCTTTTGTTTACTAAGAAAACTGTGTTGTAGATTATTTGCTCTGAATATATAATCTCAAAAATAGATTTGGTTTACATTACAAAAAAAAAATAACGATTACCACAAGAGTGATGTTTATATATATATATATATATATATATATATATATATATAGTGTGTGTGTGTGTGTTTTTTATTATTATTATAACTAATGAATGATTTAATTTCCTATTAATTTTGTTTTAATTTAATTTCTTAACTTTGTATTTGTTATATTCAACTACTTCGTTTTTTAAATTACTACCGTCGAGTTCCTCAATAAGTTTTTCTTTTCTATATCCAAAAAGTCTTGAACGTATATCTATTCTTTTCAAATTTATCATGAGTTAAATCCATTAAATCAAATTAATATCTCACTCAAAATAAATTTCTCAAATTTTATCATCTTCAAAATGTTAACCTCGCCGTACCAAATCTTATTAATATATCTATTTTTTTTTTACATATAGTGCTATTCAATTTTTGAAGAAATTTAGTTTCGATAGTTGAAGAAGCTTTGAAATCCACCCTAAGTCCCTAACCAGTATTTCTGGGGGTACTTGACAATTTAAAGAATAATAAATATATAGTAAATTATTGAATGCATACACACGCATATTACATCGACAGCTAATTCATATTTTCAATAATTAAAGCAAATTAAGACGTTAAGTGCAAATTAAGTTAAGGAAATTGAAGATGAAGATTAAAAAAGTTATGAATGGCGTCTAGTTTATCAGCCACTGTAAACCTGTTCGTAGTCATGTACGAGAACAAATTGAGGCAATTAATGTAAACACTGATTACAAAAGAACATTCTGATCTGTTTTTTTAACCATCTTTCACTGTTCTTTCTACACTTATTTTTTGTACAATTAATATATAATTAGTTGCTGAAAGTTTATGATTTGATCCTAATTAAGTGCTGTATAGTCAGCTGGCTCTTTAGTGAATATATTTGGCGTGAGCAAACACGAAACTAAGCACCTCGCTAATTATATAACCAATATATAATCACTACTCTGACTTTAAGAAGAAATACAATTTGTATACATGAAGGAAAATATGAGACATGTTTATTTATTTTGCAATTTGAATTACATAGTAAACCCTGCAATTAAAGAGCTGCGTACTGATCCGAAGCAATAACAAATTAAAGCCATGCTCATCATACGTATGGCTAGGCATGCAATAGTATATACAGTGTTTAGTGCAGAAGGAAAAGCAAAAGGAAAGACATTATTATATGTACACATGCCAATGGACTAGTTTTGGTACGTAACATTGATAATTTAATTTGCCTGTCCAATTTTGTTTGTGTAAGAATGTCCAACGCCAGGGCTGTGACCTGGATCTGTTGGCTTGAAATCATCTTTGGAGCCCTCAGTAACCAAAACTTCAACATGTGGACTCTGAACCACCTCCATTTTTTTCACGTTGTTATGTTGTGATGTAACTATTCTGTGGCCAACACCAGGACTACCTCCTGGTGTAGTGGGTCGAAAAGCGTTTGTGTTGCCTTCACCTGAATCTCCCAAACTAACACCTTCATTATAGTTTCGTGATTCAAAGCTGGTTTTAAGTGATGGAAGGTGAGGCTTGGCTACATGTTGGTTCAATGCCTTTATTTTCCTCCCATGTGCTACAAGGGAATGGCATGCAACTAGTGCAACAAAAAAGAAGAAATATTTGTGCATGGCCTCAAATTTACTCATGATCACTGAAGAATTAAGCAAAGAAACTCTAAGGGGTTTTGTATAGGTAGCTATAGACCAAGACCAGAGAGAATGAGCTAGTTAAGTACAAGGCAGATGAAGGGAGATGGTATAACAAGTTCTGAGATCCCCATGGTATTTATAATCTGTTTAGCTAGTACTGAGTAGTGCTCTCCCAATATTCTAACTGTTAATTATGCAACTGGACTAAGTCTGTGGAGTGCATGATTTTTCGAATGTGGACCGTTTATATGTCAAATAGCTTTCAAATTCCATGGCCCACTCCCTCTTGTGCAAGTGTCCATGTGTATAAAATATAAATTGGACTCATCATTTTTCTATCAAGTATTTGTATTCGATTTGATCATTTCTTCCTTTGATGCATCTAATCTTGTGAGAATTTCATATGCAAAGTATCTGATCTTAGTTAGAACAGTCCCGGTGGTGGCGGAGCGCTAGACGATTTATTTGGACTAGTGAGCTAATAAATTAAACAATATCAAAGAATTATCTGATGCTAGTTATAAGCTAAATGATTTATTGAAAGAAATATAGCCCATAAAATGCGCCAAAAAATTTAGATCAACATAAAAAATTAAAATAAAAAAAAAAAGATACTAGTAAATAGTACTGAACTTATTACTACACTGCAAAACACATTAAAAAAAAAAAAAAAAAAAAAAAA